CCCAAGCAGCTCTGCTTCTGGTGAATCGCCCCTGGGCAGCCACCTCAGGCCCCCCTGCCTCTACCCCCACCCCCTGCACCCTCCAGCTCAGCTTTCCTTGCTCCTGTGGCCCCCGGGAAGCCCAGGGCCCCTCAAGGTGAAGCCATACTGGCTGGGGTGCCCCTGGCCCTGCTGGAGCAAGGGGACAGGGCAGCTCACCGGGAACAGTGTGGTCCTGAGCTCCAGGTAGAGCACGTTGTCCTGGTAGAACTCCTCCAGGCCGCGGAAGATATAGTCTCTGAACACCGGTGCATGGTTCACGAGGCCGGAGAGCGACAAGAAGATGGTTTGAAACTTGGCCCAGACCATGTCTTGGTTTGCATAGGTCACCTGGGGGCTCTCGGTCACAAGGGTGAAACTTCTCAGCAGGCTGCTGGGACACAAAGAGGGCGGGGGCGTGCTGCAGGCCATGCCTCCAGGGCCCGCAGGACTCGGGCCCCCTGACTTCTCCCACCCGGAAGCCAGCAGGGAGGAGAGGCCAAGGGAAGCTTCCGGGCTCCTGGATGGAGGCCCCCTGCCCCAGGACCCGCCGTGTGCTCCCCAGGAGACAGCTCGCGGGATGTGCTCTCCTGTTCCCTGGGCCTCTTAGCCGGGCCGACTCCCCGGAAGTGACGTCCCAGACCAAGCTCTCCTTGGAGAGTGTTACACACTGGGTTGTGTCCCCAGAGTTCTTATGTTGAACCCTAACTCCCAGTGTGACTAAGTGTGGAAGTGGGGCCTTTAAGGAAGTAACTAAGGTCAAATGAGGTCATTGAGAGTGGAGCCTGAGACCCCAGGAGTGCACCCAGCCAAGGAGGGAGGCCTGGGAGGGCCTGCCTGCACCCTGGCCTTGGACGTCAGCTCCCAGAGCTGTGACCAAGCGGATTCCTATTGTTTAAGCTGCCGGTCTGTGGTGTTCCATCTCGGCCGCCCCAGCCGACCAGCACGGGGGCTCAGATGGAGACCACTCCGGACTCGGCAGGGTGGGACCCAGCTCACATCCCTGGTGAGCTGCTCTCCGGCTGCACGGCCTCGGTAACCTCCTTAACCACGCTGAGCTGCGTGTTCTCCTTTGTAAAGGAAATACTTCGTGAAAGCCCGCTGTGGCTGCTTGTCCGACTGTAATAAACATTATGTGTGATGTTACTGTGCCTTTTGTTAGGAAGCTGCCCATCGTGTTTTCAAGCTGTTTCATTCACCACTGGGCTCTCAGGGCCCCAGGAAAGGGGACCCTCTTCTTCCTGGTCCTACTGAGGGTCTGGACAAATCCCATTCAAAGCAGCAGCTGTGTTGCTGATCAAATCGGATTTTAAACATACCAGGAGCTCGCTGTGGACAGGAAAGGTGTTGAGTGCCTTGGTGAAGCAAATCTCACAAAATTAAGAGAAAGCCTCGTGATATTTTTAAGGCCAGATGTTTATGTAAGGGTCTGTCCCTGGGAGACGCCACACGCCTCCCCCACCTGCAACAGGTGCTCGAAGCCCTCCTCCCGAACCCACCTCTGGTCAAACTCAGTGACGTTCTGCAGCCCCTTTCGAACTTTCTCCAGCAAAACCCACTCGGAACATTCTGCCGGCTCCGGTTTCGGGGGGCTTGGGTGAGCAAATCTGAACAGCATGGTCCCTTTCCGGGTGTGGCAGAAGTAGCAGTGGGGCCTGTAGGTGACATTTTTCACCAGCCAGTCCATACTCACGATGCCAAAGTTGTGGACGTGTAAGGCCGCCCCTGAAAGAAAGGAGGGCGGAGGGTGGAGTGAGCTGGTGGGCCCAGACTTAGGGGCTGGGGGGCTGAGAGGGCAGTGGAGACAAGAAAGGGGACACACAGGGTTTGCAGTTTCTTGGCAACCCAGGACCCTGTCCTCTGCAGCTCAGAGCTCGCCCGTCTGCCTGTGTCCTCCAGGGCACCCGCTAACTTCTGGCTCAAGGTTAAGAGTTAGAAGCCCTGGGTGGTCTCAGTCCAGAGAGGCCACACCACCGGAGGCTTGGAATCCAATGCGTCTGGCTCTGCACTGGGAACCCCACCTCCAGAGGCTGCAAGGAAAGGAGTGACAAGGGCCCCGCCCGCCCTCCCACGGCGGGTCCCGCCGTGTCCTGGTTCTCTCACCCCGCTCCCCCAGGCCCCACCGGCCGCCTCATGCTTCCTGCAGGCTTCGCCATTTGAGGCCCCTTGTGGTCTAAAT